CGATGAATTAACTTGCAGGTGTTGGAGTCCATTGGTCGCGATAATATCAAACTTAGCGATAAGGCTATTGAGGAGCTTATTGCTCTGCTGGACAAGGAACAGATACTGGAGGCAGAGCAAAAGATCGAGAAGGCAATTGCGAAGAGCATGAAGGAAGCGGAAAAACTGAAACTGGAGGTGGAGAAAACGGATAAGGATATGGCCAAACTGGTCGATGGTATACATGATTCGGCGAAGGAGATACGCGACATAGCCACCGAACTGGGAGCAATGGAGCAGGACAGGCCCACGCCCCCAAAGCCAGAAGTATATAAGGGGTAGCTTAATATTAATGCGAACGTCGTCCTAATGCTTGAGTTGTTTCTTTTACTTACAGCCCGACATGAAAGATTCCGCCAAAGTATTGAAAGATAATGCTAAGGAGCTGGGTGATTTGCTAGTCAAGCCCCCAAAGAACAACAACAACAAGAAAGGGGGAAAGGACACACCACCAACACCGAGCAAAGGCAACAGCTCCGACAGCAATAGAAACAATTGCAAGAAGGCCAGCGATAGCGAAATGTCAATGCCCAAGATAGCGATGCGTGAGGCGGCCGAAATGCAAATCGAAAAGCTATTGCCCCAAAAGGATATCGATCTGCCACCAACGATACCCACACAAACACCGACCCAGTCCAAGGTGGCTACCTCACCGAAAGCGGCGGCGAATGGCACTTCCGGCACCCCCAAGAAATTGATCTGACCGGCTGAGCCGAAGGCGAAAGCAATACATGAAGAATACCCAGAGCATTCACCTAGGGCAAAATGAGATCAGAAAGTCAACCCTTTGTCCAAATTGATTCGAGTTGCATTCAATATTAATAATATTAAAACAGGAAATGCATAGAATAGTAATTCAATAGAAAATCTGTATTTAGTTAGATCCCAGGCAAGAGCTCCTTAGCAAAGGCTGTATTAAGTATGTGTAAAAGTTGCCCAAATTATAAACTATTGCTTAAAAAAATACAGAATTTGGGTATGTTAAAACGAATACAATGGCAAAACTACCTTAAAAATATATACTTTTATTTTCTATCGCCTTAGTTATATACTACATTCATGTGCTGGTCCATCAAATACTTGACTTTATGATAATGTTAGCGATTGTGATCATTAAGTGAAATCTTAATTTACATATTATTTCTAATATAAAACTTAACGTAGTACGAAAACACAGTAACAACAACAACAACAACAATGTCAAACGATTTGAATTCAGTGGAATTTCAACATAAAAGCGAAGCGAAAAGCACGTGATACTTTTCTGTAACAATAATAAATACTATATATGCTTAACTGAATTAGATTTGCGACGTGTAAAAGTGTTAATTTGCAATAAGAAATAAAGAAATAACAAGTTACACACACACACACACGTGATGAAGATTTAATTTGTGGAAAAGGTCTCTTAAGTGTGTGAATTATAGAATATGATGGGAAAATCAAAGGCCTAGATGAGCTTTATGTGAGACTATTTTGTTTGATAATGATACAAATAAAGGAATGTTTTTACAGTCTGATATGTAGGAGTATTTAATGAGTTAATTTGGTTTATATTTGCTTGGTTTTGTATACAAAAGTTAGTCAATGAGCCTTCTGAAACTGAGCTTATTTGGTATATTTGTTAACATTACATTAACATTTGTACTAAAATTGTATGGAACTGATATTGAATACATTTTGTATGTAATACCAGACATGCTTACATATTTTAAAAGGAAACTTGTTAAATGTTAAGTAAACACAAATATTTGTTGTACATTTTAATCGAATTTTCCTTTGGCAAAAGTTCATTTCCAATTATGTTTAGATAATGCTAAGGTTTCATTTGAGATGATGATTTGAGATAAGAGATGAAAAGAGAGAGAGAGCATATAGGCTCTGCTATTAATGCTGTTAAGGCATATAGACAGAGTATGTAGTTTGTGGAGTTGGAGCAATTAAGTGTATAATAGTTCAGACTGCGGACAGAGCTAATGTCAAGGGCTATTTGTATAGAGTTCACATATAAAGCATGCATTCAACGAAGTTTTTATCATAAAGCTGAGCAAACTAGTCTGTTTAGAAAGATGAAAAGAAGTAAGTTTTATTTAATGAATTAGTTACTGAAAATGAACATCTGCCAATTATCTCGTATATTTATATACTTTTATACATATATCCGTATAAGTAACGCTCGAGTTTCTACTAAACAAATTCTTTTCAAATTTGCTTGCCATTCAGCTGCTTTACAAGATATTTTATACTTATGAGCCACTTATATTTCCGACTTGAACTCATAATTACAAACAATTGTAAATGTTTCGAATTCCTACATTCGAATACTTTATAAGCTCTAAATACATTTGCAGTATGTGCGCCAAGTTCTCTTTATTTTCACAATCTCAATGCTTCACTCGAGCTAGCTGTAATTCCCTAGTGCCAACCGCAAAACCAAATTTCGCCATGGATGGGGGGCGATGCAACTGAATAAGTTTTGAGCAATTGCCAAAAAAATGAGAATGAGAAAAAATCCAAATAGAAAGCATGAAAAATATGAAGAAAACAAAACAATAACAACAGCCATATGCTGGGCAATAAAACTAATAAATATTACCACAAAATGTGCAAGGAGTCCATAACTTTCCAGCTAAACCACTGACCCATAAATTCTCTTATAATTTAACTCGAGCAAATGCACTCTGCCATTGGCATGGAATTTAGTTGGATACTTGGGGCTAGAAATGGGGCAGCATCAATGCTAAAATTATATGATTTACGCTTTCAATTTCTCTGCGATTACCCTTTGACCCTTTGGCAATTTCCAGTGGAACCCATATTTAATGGACTGCACAATATTTGTTGGTTTTAATTTGCAACGTTTTTCTGTTTGATTATCGAACAAAGGGCGTAATTGGATTCAGGTGTGTTTGGGCTAATAAAGTAATAACTGTTATACCTGGCATTCGAAAATAAATTGTTATTTTGAGTGTTATAGAAATTGCTCTACTTGACTATCCTATGAACCATTATATTGACTGTTATATAAAATGTTCTAAATGTTCCATTATACCAACTGTTATAAAATGTTCTACTTTACCATTGTAACAGCTTTCTCATTAACAATTATATTCACTGTTATATACATTTTTCTAATTGACTATTGTAACAACTGTTCTATTAACCATTCTACTGACTGTTATACAAAATCCATTACTGTCCCATTAACCATTATACCCACTGTTATATAAAATGTCCCATTTAACAGCTGCCGCATTAACCATTATACTGTCTGTTAAATATCACTTCCTAACTTTTTTCATTAATTCCAATTTACCTGTTATATTTGACTGTTATACTCGCACACTCAGTTGCCATACCATAATTTATTTTGCTGTCAGCTTATCCGCTTATATGTATGCCCAAATGGTCCCCGGAGATGTGAAGACATTTCACTAAAGTTTCAATCATTTACAAATCCCAGACCGAGAGCCGCCAGTGGACAGACAGCGCGAAGAGTTTTGCCAACTGAGTAAACATTGGATGGCCAAGTTTGGCCGTCGATGATATCGAATACAAATAAAACTCAAACGATCCAACAAACAAGACCAAAGCGAAATGTGTTTAAAGGTAAATAGAAGCTTGAAAAATGTGAAACAAGCCAAATAATAATAAACTTCAGCTCCATCGGGACCTGTGGCGGGCCAAGTGAGAATTGTTGTTTGCAATCAAGCAGTACTCAGCAATAACAGACATCGGGAGGAGACGAGACGAGTCGAGTCGAGGCGCTTCAGAAGTAGTTCGAGCAACTCTGTCTGTGTCTGTGTCTGTCTGTGCAGCAGAGGAATGCGCAACGGAGCTGACGCTGGTGTTGGGCCAAAGTTTGTCCAGCTAAAAGTGCTTGAAATGCAACAATGGCAGTCGAAAAGCTGCCTTCAATTGGCGAGAATCCGAGCAAGGCGAATTCAAAGTGGTTCCTCATCAAATAAAGTTAATAAAGTGGACTGACTGAAGCCACTTCATATAACCGTATTGCTGTTGAAAATGTCATGAAACAATTAAAAACTTGTGCCTTTCCACGAGTCAATCAGCGTGCAACACAATAAGTAGCTCAAGTTGAAAAACTTTGCACTTGCAACACTTTAAATGCCCCACGAGACACCGCTGCAGCACGCACATAAAAAAAAACACGCGCAGACTGTGAGCCGAGCGAGTGCGGGCGGTGCTGGTAGTGGTGCCGGATCTAGCGATGTAATGCATTTTATAGTGGCGCACAAATCGAGAAAAATTGTCATTGCAAATTTAAAGTAATTGAAGCTGAAGCGAAAGCTAAACTAGTTAAAGTGTTGAATAGTGTTGAATGGTCTCTAGAAACTTGAATTTGCTGTGATGATTTTATATATATTTTTATATATTTTTTTAATATATTTTATAATTTTATATATATTTTTTAAATAAATAATTTTTCAATATTTTTTATAGATTTTTCTATTAATCTTGAAGGTGAAATTGAAGGCAATTTATACATATTTTTAACTTAAATTAATTTGTTTTTATTTTAAATTAATTTGTTTGAATATTTATATAGATATTTTTTTATTATTCTATTCAAGCACATTGTATACATTTTTATAAAATTGAACCAAGCAAAGCTAGGCTTAAGCAACATGGTTAAATATATATTATCTTCAATTTAACTTATCCTTATGGTAGTATAAAACTCTGAGAACATTTCGGATTGGTGATAAATATTTATAAATATATTTATCAATATAATTTTTCTCAATCAAGGTAAATTCATGAGGATAATCTTCTCATGCTATAAAACAGGCACAAAAAACTCAGGCCCAGAGATGAATAGCTTTCGTTCTACTAGGCCTAGGATTTAATCATGAATCTTACTGCCGATTTCATTCTTCATTCATTCATTCACTCATTCATTCACCCATTCATTCTCTTAACAAAATCAAACTCAATATTTGCAATAGGTTAAACACTCGTGTTGGTATATTTAATGGGATGTACTGACATTTACATGCTAAAGATCTCATCTCAACTCATTTCAACACATGCGAAGAGCTAGGCAATTCATTTCGCTACACTTTCATCAATTTGGGCTGTTATGATGTATGGTATATGGTATAAGGAGAGTAGAAAAAACACCAAAGGAGAATAAAAAAAAAGAGGGGGATTAATAAAATCAAAAGTACATCTAAGTTCGACTGGCTGTGCAATGGAAACGAAATGCCAGCTGAGGGTGTGATCGCTAGTCCCTATCCTATTCAGCTTAGCATGAGCGGGCGGAAGAATCAGTCTCTCCTTCTATTTGGCTGTGGCATTGACCTGATGGAACCAGCCATATCGCCAGCTGGTTGCCTCCGGATAGTTGTACTTGACATCCGGCGTATGGCCGTAGCGCGTCTCCAAATAGGACGAACGATTGCCAGACCTGAGCAGCTGCAGTTCATCGGCCGGCACAGATTTCATCGGCGTACGGAATTGGCCAAAGAAGCGCGCCTCCTGCTTGGACAGATCATAGTCGAAGATCTTCGAGGACGACGGCCGATAAATGCGATTATTGTGCCACTGCGTCGCTCGTGGCAATGCGCCGGCAATAATCCGCATTCTGGACGATATGTTATCCTGATGCTTGAAGGTCTTCGTCTTGCGAGTGCCCACGGCTGATGCAGTGCTGCCATCCGATTTGCCTGCCAGCTGGGAGCTGCGCGAGTTCAGGCCTGGCTTAGCCTGGCTTCTGGGAGCATTCTGCACGGAGGCTGGGCTAAGCTTGTGTGCGCTGCTCCTTGTTGTTGTGGTTGTTGTTGCTGTGGTTGTTGTCTTCTTCTCTTCATTGACAACTTTTGCTGGAGCTCTCGTTGTTGTTGTTGTTGTTTTTGGCTTCATTTTCGTTGACTGATTTGCGCCGCTGTTAACATTTTTTGTTGCACTTTGAAATTTTGTTGTAACTTGTTTATTTTGACAGCGAAACATTGTATATATGTGGATTTATTAGTGGAATGCTAATATCAGCTAATAGAAGCACCCTACAAATAATCTCTACTAAGGCATGGAGTGCTTTGTTACGGCTCTGAGAATTTAATTTAGAATAGGAAATGATTTGATGTGATCTGAGTTCAATGTAGGCGGAAAGAGGAGATAACAGGAGTTATAGATTGGATCATCTAAATATCACATAAGCTAAGCAATAGGAACATTATTATAGTATATACGTAGTAAAAATATTTTTACTACTATTAATACTAGAATAAGGGAGTAGAGAATATTCAAATACTACTAAAATACTGAAGAACAAACTCTCTCTCTGTTCAGTTGACTAAGTAAACTTTTATATTATATTATATTTATATGCTGTAAAGTAAAATATATATGTATGTATGTATGCACTTCATTCATGATGCATTTCAATAAAAAATTAAATATATTTGCTGCATTTCAATGCTGATTGATTAAAGTTTCCATTGCTTTCCAGCTGCATGTTATCAAAAGTCAACTTTAAGCTTATATATATTTATAAAATATATATTGTATATTTATATATTATAATATAATTTTTATTCCATTAAATGTTTACATTATTGCCTATTTTTTCCACATGAATATTATAAATAATTTATGTTAATTTAAAAAACAATATTTTTTTTTTGGTTACATTTATCAGTAAATATTTTTCAGCGTCTGCATATATTAAACACAATTCAAAGACAGAAACTTAACATAGATGTTGCTTAACAGCTTCAATGGCATTTACCAAAAGCCGGATGATTTTCCGCCAGGTGGATTATGCACTTTAATGGACGAGCGCACGCCGGATTTGTCCAGTTCCTCTGCAATGCATAAAAAAGGGAGGGGAGAATAAATTCGAAATATTCTTAAGCCGCTGCAGCTAATTTAGAACGCACCGCTTAGCGAAAATGATGTTTCCTGCATATCCCGCTTGCCGTCCACGCGTCCAACTCCACTCGAAGCGACGCTGGGCGTAGGATTGCCAGAGAACATGGCCGAAGGCGGTTCGATTTCAGCCACGTGAACGTCCAGTTTGGCTAGCTTTTTAGTTACGCTGCCATTGAGTGGCACCTGCTCATCCTGTGCCACCTCCTCCCCCTCCTGCTGCTTGCCCTCAATACTGTCGTAAACAAAAGGCGGTCGCAACGGCGTGGGTACGAAACGTCCAAAGCCCTCAGCCACTCGAAGCTCTCCATTCTCCACGCAAATGCGTCCACGCACCAACACATACTCAGGCACTCCATGCACAGTCTGGCCCTATGGGGAGAGAGATTGGTAAGAGGGTGTATATATGTATAGCTCATATATATATGACTGTACCTCAAAGATATTGAAATCGCACGCATGATGATGGGTATCCTTGGATATGGTGCGAGTTGCTTGCGGATCCCAAATAACAATATCAGCATCTGAGCCATTGGCTAGAAATCAAATGAATTTAATAGTTGATTTAATAAATTTAATATATATATAACAATTATTTAAGTATACTCAGATATATATTATATACATATGTCTACTTACCAATTCGTCCCTTTTTAGGATAGATATTGAATATTTTGGCGGCATTTGTGCTGGTTATGGCAACGAATCTGCACGGATCCATCAGGCCGGAATGAACACCGCGCTCCCAGACCAGAGACATGCGATCCTCAACGCCATTGACGCCGTTCGGTATTTTGGTAAAGTCGCCCAGGCCCAGCTCCTTTTGCTCCTTGTTAAACGTGCAATTGTCGCTGCCCGTCGTCTGCAGATCATTGCTGCGAAATAAAGAAAGAAAAACCAAATATATAACATTTATTTTATTTTATTTTATAAAATCAATTTTATACTTGCAATGAAATGACAGTGATATATATTATTAATATGAATAGAATGCGAAAATATATACTCACTACGGCAAATCATCCTTGACACTGCCTGGGGCAATGACAAAGGATTTGCTGACTTTGCTGGCGTCATCATCTGAGTTTTGGTAAGGCATGATTAGTGTGGATGTGATATATGTCAATATGTTTGATTAAACGTCACTTTAACTGAATGATTTATCGGCTAAGAAACGTATTGGCCCTGACAGCTCACCTGGCTAGCAGCTTCATCATAAACTCGGGCGTGGACTTGTCGGGTCGCAGGGGCGGGCTCAGCACATGAGCAGCCGCATGACCAAAGTGCTGGCAGCGATAGTGGGTGCCATCTGTACCGAGAGCCGCCGCCAAGGTCTCACCGTAGATGTACTTCCCACGATAACGCTCACGAGCGCGTGCTACCTCAATGCCCGCCGATTTGCTCATAACGTGCACCACATACAGTGGACAATCAACCTGCAGAAGTATTTTTGTAAATTTAAATCGAATATGAAATAATATAGATAAATTGAATTAAAAATAAAAGAACATAAACCAATATGGAATATTAAATTTATATGTGAATATCATTATAAATTACATACAAATATTATTTTACTACTAAAAAATCATGTAAATATTTGCATGAGCATTAGCTGACGCTAATCTTAATAGGATAACATAACTCCCTTATAACAGCATGCTGAGCTGTATGTTAATTAACAGTCTTCATCACAAAACGGCATGTTAATAAAGCTTATGCTAATTATGCTTGGTTGTTTGAGTGATTCCAATAAGAATCCAAACTAACGAGTCAAATAACTAACAGAACGATAAATAAATAAATAAAATAAATAACTAGTATAAATTATTGTCTAGGTTGTTATTAATGACAGTTAGCTAATTGTAATTTATATGTTATATATGTATATATATATTTTATATGTATGCATATATCTAATTTAAGCTTGACCCACCTGGTGAGCCAAAATGCAAGCACGATGCACGGCCTCAGCCTCCACCTCTTCCTGTCGCGACAACTCGTGACCCTCGGGTCCAGTAATGCCCTCGGCCAACAATCGCTTGGCATTCTTGGCAATAATATCGCCATTTTCAGCATGAACCTGAAACGGCAAACGTATAAAATTTAGAAAAATTTAAGAGTAAATATAAAGACTTTAATATAAGCCCACCATAGCCACAGCATTCAAGCCTCGTATGCGCTCAAAGACATCCAATAGTTCCGAGTCATTTAGCTGATAGAGTCCCTTATAGGCCATGAATGTCTTGAATGAATTGATGCCCAGCTCTTTGCACAGTATGCCAATCTCGTCAGACACAGATTTCGACCACCAAGTAATGCCAACATGGAGTGCGTAATCACAGCAGACCTTGGGATCTGCCCAGCTGCGCCATTTGTCATAGGCCTCGATCATGGACTCGTTTTTGTTTGGCAACACAAAGTCAACTAAGGAATGGGATTTCTTAATATCACTAATACATAGATAGATATATACAATATAATGAATACCTACTTATCATTGTAGTGCCACCAGCCACAGCTGCTTTGGTTCCATGATAAAAACTAAAATGAACAATAGTGATATATCGTTTGATGCCTATTTGTAGCACTCCAATCACTTACTCATCCACTGCCACCGCGTTGCCAAAGGGCAGCTGCATGTGCGTATGCGGATCTATGCCACCTGGTATAATTAGCTTGCCGCTGGCATCGATTGTGCGCACGCCACCTGGCACCGTTATATCTGCAGCGGGTCCTACGAATCTGACAAGATTTGAGTGTTAGCTTCTGCACGTATAGATATCATATTTATTTATTATATTTACTTGATAATTCCATCCTCTATGTAAACATCAGCTTTGAATGTCTTGTCGTGATTCACAATTTGGCCATTTTTGATATAGACACGATTCTGTGCGCTTTGCAAGTGTATGGGCACTTTTTTCACTGGCGTCGACATGTCAATACCTGAAATAACAATTTGAAAATCGATTTATAAAAATTAATTTAAAGAGAAAAATTATTATTTAATCTTTTTTATACCGAGTATAAAATAAAATTGTATTTGTTTAAAATTGTTTTATTTCCAGAGCATATTCTCGATAAGATCTAGGGTTTGTTTTTTATGCTTTTGACCACATAAGAGCAAATGAAATCCAAAAACTGCATAAGATATTATACTACTATTAGATATTATACTACTATTTAGTTTTATTTTGAAGCTACTTATTTGCTTAGTTTTAGATAGGTTTATAATATTTATTTACATATACCCAACAACTGTCTGATAATTTATAATCAAATGACAAGTTTTATTAATTATGTGAATAATTATTTATGAATAGCTTAAGCAATAGCTTAAACAATCGCTAACCAGAATAGTTTCACTCCTGCTTGGTCAATCTATGGATGTATTTATTTATATGAGGTTGGCCCTAAAAGCAGCTTCAGCTAGATTTACTTAGGCATATAAATATCAAACAGCTACAAATCAAACACAAACATAAAGTAAACAAGTCCTTATTTATTTAATTATTTTTCATTTTTGTTTTTTCTTCGCTTTTCTTAATCTAACTTTCGCTTGACGCAAGAAAAAACGAAAAATCTTATCAGATGATTACAAAATTGATAAGTATCAATAATATTATGTTTCTGTTTATTGCGCTAGCTAACATGCGTTGAACTAACTTTTCAAATTCGAATTTTTGTTTGTTTATTGATAAGCTACATATCTAGACATATATGAATATATTTATATATTTTTTTTTTCAAAGTTTACAATCTTTGATAAATGGCTGATAGCAGAGGTTTGCTCTTGTCAATGCTAGAGCATGTTTAGTTAAATATGTACTTTAAATGCACCAATTTGTAGTCTTATCAATTGAGATAGTCGTACATGCGATCCATTTAAAGATCGACCTTTTCCGAGTTACAGCAGACATAATGCCGACATGCAATGCAATTTTTTATGTCTCACTGCCCCAGATGTGAAGTGACGCAAGAAAATGTTGTGCTTTAAATATAGAACACACTTGGCGAAATGTTGTAGGAAATACGTAAATGAAGAAAAATACAAATTCATAAAAATTAAAAATATTTAAAAACAAGAGAGCCTTAAAGAAAACCAACTCAAGCCTAATTTCTTTAAGCCGATTTGATTAGACGGAAGTGCATATGTATATGTACATCTATGTTTTCATATATGGCATGTTTGTTATGCTAAACAGTTTCATATGTGCTCAATGGGCATGCAATAACAACAATCTAGTTTTCTTATAGGTACCAAAATAGCCGATTCAGCAATTATCTACGTAGCGGCCACATGTGAATAATATTAAACACAAACACAGACACACACACACACGCATACAAACGACTATACATATTCACAGATCCAAATATGTATTCGCCTCTGGCTTCGAAAAAAAAAAAAACGAGTGCGAAAAACATTATTCTCTGACCTACTACCAAATAGTTGATGTGCGATGTAATCGCATTGGCAGAGATTAGTTTATTTCAAGCACACTTGATTCGTATTAATAACTGTATTCAAACCATACACAATTTCAGAATTTTTCAAAAAGAAAATTAGCCTGTGCTAAAGTTCAGCAATAAATTGCAATTTTTAATGGCTTTCTATATATATTACAGCTTAGTGTATAGTTTCTCTGTATGACACGCGCGTATATAAATCAAATGAATACTTAATTGTTTTTCCTTAAGTTTCAGTAGTAAGTTCGTATGATTTACCGTTAAGCTTTGAACAATTTCGGAAGTTAAATTGCCGACAAATCTGGCAGCTAACGCACAACGCAACCGCTTTCGCCAAAAAACTCTGATAAGACTGATGAAAAGTTGGTGCTAGCAACAGGTGCTGTTAAACTCAAGTGAACTGTTAACAAAACTGTTAAGCTAACAGTTGTGAAAGTATCGATAGCTTATCGAGATCGATTGCTACGTAAGAGGGCGCAAAAATGTAATATACATATATGCCAAAGTAAAAAATTTTTAAAACTAAATAAAACTAATCATATGAAATAAAACAAAAATAAACGAATTTTATATGATAAATGATGAATGTTGCGGGCTTGAGAATTCAATTTAGAGTAGGAAAAGATTTGATGTGACAATTTAACATATATTTTGTTTATTTATTATTTTTTTTTTGCACCTATTTTGATATTTTTTTTTTCAATCGCAACCATCAAAAGCCTGATGGTTTTCCGCCAGGTGGATTGTGCACTTAAAAAGGGGTAGCATAAATGCGAAGTATTTTTAAATCGCTGCAGCTAAATTATCCTGTCCCTCCCCCTCCCCTTGCTCCTGCTTGCCATCAATACTGTCGTAAACAAAAGGCGGTCGCAACGGCGTGGGTATGAAACGTCCAAATCCTTTAGTAACTCGAAGCTCTCCATTCTCCACGCAAATGCGTCCGCGCACCAACACATACTCAGGCACTCCATGCACAGTCTGGCCCTATGGGGAGAGAAATTGGTAATAGGGTATATATACATATATAGCCTATATATATATGACTGTACCTCAAAGATATTGAAATCGCACGCATGATGATGGGTATCCTTGGATATGGTGCGAGTTGCTTGCGGATCCCAAATAACAATATCAGCATCTGAGCCATTGGCTAGAAATCAAATAAATTATTATTTTTATATTAGATTATATATTTAAATCTACTTACCAATTCGTCCCTTTTTAGGATAGATATTGAATATTTTTGCGGCATTTGTGCTGGTTATGGCAACGAATCTGCACGGATCCATCAGTCCCGAATGTACGCCACGTTCCCAGACTATGGACATGCGATCCTCAACGCCATTGATGCCATTCGGTATTTTGGTAAAGTCGCCCAGGCCCAGCTCCTTTTGCTCCTTGTTAAACGTGCAATTGTCGCTGCCCGTCGTCTGCAGATCATTGCTGCGAAATAAAGAAACGAAAACCAAATTCATTTTAATTTATTTTATAAAATCAATGCAATGAAATGACAGTGATATATTGTATATTATTAATATGAATAGAAAATATGTATATACTGTATAAAATCATAATTGAAAGTGAGAGAGGATTTGCTGAGATGTTGTAAGGCATGGTTAGATGTGGAAGTGAATGATTTATCGGCTAACAAACGTATTAGCCCTGACAACTCACCTGGCTAGTAGCTTTATCATAAACTCGGGCGTGGTCTTGTCGGGTCGCAGGGGCGGGCTCAGCACATGAGCAGCCGCATGACCAAAGTGCTGGCAGCGATAGTGGGTGCCATCTGTACCGAGAGCCGCCGCCAAGGTCTCACCGTAGATGTACTTCCCACGATAACGCTCACGAGCGCGTGCTACCTCAATGCCCGCCGATTTGCTCATAACGTGCACCACATACAGTGGACAATCGACCTGCAGAGGAGTTATTATCAGTTTAAATCGATTGTATGAGAAAATAGATAAATTGAATTAAAAATAAAATGTAAAATAATCATAATAATATATCCTTTGCCTTTTAATAAACTTGAAATTCTATTAAATAATAATTAAAAAAATATTAATTAAATATTAATAAAAAGTCATGTAAATATTTACATATAAGTTGGAGCAACTCTTAATAGGATAACATAACTCACTTCTAACAGCAGCTGAAATTTATGTTAATTAACATTATTCATCATAAGCATTATCGCTTATGGTTTAAAGTGACTCCAATCAGAGTCCACACTTTCTCAAGAGTCAGCAAACTGACAGAAAGATAGAGAAATAACTAGCAGTTGCCCAAGTTGTTATCAATGATAAATACTTTAGTGTATGTTGTATATATGTATGTGTATATCTAATTAAAGCTTGACCCACCTGATGAGCCAAAATGCAAGCACGATGCACGGCCTCAGCCTCCACCTCCTCCTGTCGCGACAACTCGTGACCCTCGGGTCCAGTGATACCTTTAGCTAGCAGTCGCTCGGCATTCTTGGCAATAATATCGCCATTCTCAGCATGAACCTGAAACAGCAAACATATCAAATTAGAAGAAATCACATATCAAGATTTAAATAGGAGCCAACCATAGCTACAGCATTCAAGCTTCGTACGCGCTCAAAGACATCCAATAATTCCGAGTCAACCAGCTGATAGAGTCCCTTATAGGCCATATAGGATTTGAATGAATTGATGCCCAGCTCTTTGCAAAGTATGCCCATCTCGTCAGACACCGATTTCGACCACCAAGTAATACCCATATGAAGTGCGTAGTCACAGCAGACCTTGGGATCTGCCCAGCTGCGCCATTTGTCATAGGCCTCAATTAAGGATTCGTTTTTGTTTGGCAACACAAAGTCAACTAGGGAATGGGATTTCTTAATATCACAAATATATACATATATAATGAATATTTACTTATCATTGTAGTGCCACCAGCCACAGCTGCTTTGGTTCCGTGATAAAAACTAAAATGAATAATCATGCTATATATCGTTTGATCCCTATTTGTAGCACTCCAATTACTTACTCATCCACTGTCACCGCATCGCCACATGGTAGCTGCATGTGAGTATGCGGATCTATGCCACCTGGAATAATTAGCTTGCCGCTGGCATCGATTGTGCGCACGCCACCTGGCACCGTTATATCCGCAGCGGGTCCTACGAATCTGACAAGATTTGAATGTTAGCGTATGCACGTATAGATATCATATATTGTTCAGGCATGAATATGTCAATATACGAAGATCGTATGCATGCCTCCAACGCACTCAGCGACTAGCAGGTAGTGCGCTGTGAAAAGATATGGGTCACATGTACGGACTGTATAAATAGAGAAATGAAGACCAACCCCTGCAACCCGAGAGTAAGATAACGTAAGAGGCGAGCGCTGAGCCTCATAAACTCAGCGATAGGATAAGAATAGCTAATAGAACAAAGCGGAGTCTTACACACTCAGCGATAAATAAGAATATGTAATAGCCCAACGCGGAGGGTTGAAAAATATGCTGAGTCTGGGTATTAAAACTCAGGCTCAGAACAATAAAGATAAATACAAAACTAAACACCATCAAAATCAAATACATTCGTTCATATTTATTTATCATATTTACTTGATAATGGCATCCTCTATGTAAACATCAGCTTTGAATGTCTTGTCGTGATTCACAATTTGGCCATTTTTGATATAGACACGATTCTCTGCACCTTGCGTCGACATGTCTATACCTAAAAGAAAAAAAACAAAATCATTTAAAAAAAATATATACAAATTATTTTAATAAGATGAAATATTTGTAAATCTTTATATTATTTTTTTAATCTTTATATATACCAAGTATAAACAAATTGTATTTATATATGATTAAATTATTGTCAGAGCATATTATAGATAAGAAGTAGGGTTTCTTTTACTATTAAGGGTATAATAAAAAATAAAAAGAAAATAAAAAAAAAAAAAAACAAATCGCTTATCAGGTTATTACAAAACTAAAAGCATAAATAATATTATGTTTCGGATTGTTGCGCTGGCTTGTATGAGCTGCACTAACTTTTCGAAATAGAGCTTGTTTGTTTGTTGATAAGCAACATATTTATACATATTTATTATACTCTCTCTATGCAAATGACATACTTTTTCACAAAAGCAGATTTCCCATTTTCATCTTAAAACGAGCTCAAGCATAATGAATTTGATTAGACAGTATACATATATGGAAATGTGGCATGTTTGTTATGCTAAACAGTTTTAAATGTGTCCAATGGGTCCCAAAAGATTCGATTCAGCCTATCTATGTAGCGGCTATGTGTGAATAATTTTCAAACCGCCTAAACATATTCACAGATCCAAATATGTATTCACTTCTGGCTCCGAAAATACGATGTAATGGCATTAGCAGAGGTTAGTTTATTTCGAACACACTGGATTCATATTAATAATTGTAATTAAGATATGCTCAATTTCAGAATTTTTCAAAGAATTTTTATATGAATATGTTAAAAATTAGTATATTGTTTCTCTGTAGGACACGACCGTAAAACAAATAAATATTTTTCATTAAGTTATTTGTTTTTGTTAGGTTCGTATAACTTACCGTTAAGTTTTAAAAAATTTTGCAAGTCAAATTAACAGTCAACGCACAACTCAACCGCTCTCGCCCAAAAAAACACTAAGACTGATGAAAAGTTGGTGCTAGCAACAGGTGCTGTTAAACTCAAGTGAACTGTTAACAAAACTGTTGAGTTTACAGTAGCGAAAGTATCGATAGGCTATCGTGATCAATTGCTGTATGAATGGGCGCAAATATTTGAAATATTTTCCACAGTAAAAACAAATGTTTATGTATAAAAAATAAACAAATTGTAAATTATAAATGATAGAGCAAATAACTTGATTTATGTATATCTATATATAATAGTTATATATTAAATATGATTGTTTTTCAATACTTATATATATTTAGTATGTAATATAAAATCATATAGATAACCATTTTATAAATTTAAATTTTAAAGCTTGTCTTAAGCTACATTTTCTTGGCAGCGATCCGAGTTTCTGAAGTGCCGTGGGCGAGTCTAAAGGGGGGCTTTCATTATTTCTGTCGCTAAGCAAACATTTATGTAAACATTTCCGTTGAATGCATTTCATATAAGCTCTGACCTTAATTTTCTACAGCTTGCATGCCTTCCGCATTTCTAGCTGCGAGTTAAAGTTCAGTTTGTTGCTGAAAGAAAATTTCCTTATAAAATATCAGCTCTAAGCCCATATCATTAGGACTGTCTTTAGAGATATGTAAATGGTTTGCTATTAAGTCTTGTCAATAGAAATGTATTACTGCTGTAAATCCTGTTACAAGTATTTATCATCAGTTAATTTATTGTTTTTGGCATAAACTCCTTCATCTTGAATCTCTCTTCTGTCTTACTCTTTGTCAACTTGGTTATTTCGCGCACTAAATTAAGCCGTATAGCCAAAGGGGGATTTATGTTTTTATTCAATTTTTGGTGGCTGGTGAGAAAATATAAAGTGGATTATACAGAGATAACAGGCAGGCCACAGTCATGTACATACTGCATACAAATTCTTTCTTTTTCGTTTTGTTTTTTGTCTTATTCCAATTTTTTCATGTTCCTCTGTTTGGGTGCAGGAAGTGCAGAGCATCGAGCATCGAGCACCGCAGCTGGCCATAAAAATGGTGCACAGATATGTCGCTAGCCGTGAAATGTTTATATGCATGTGGGTCGCGTGTCCTGCTACAGTTGCAATCGAACAGAACTGCATGAAAAACCGGGGACTACATATAAATGTAATGCCCGATATTGGCAGCTAGCGAAATCCAAAAGCCGATCTGTGCCACTTTTCTTGTGGCATTGCGGCAGTGACTTGCTGGCTAATACCTTAAAGAGTGCTGCCCCTTAATGCCTGCGACAAGCTCCCTCACTCTCTCATACCACCTCTCTCCCTCTCGCTCTCTGTCTGTATCTCCTCAAGTGGCTGCTTCCTATTGCTATGCTGTGTTCGTCATGGCCAGAAATCCTTTTAGCTTATTTAGCCGTTTAGTTAAACGCAATTTGGACGCTTTTGTTGCCATTGTTTCCACCTGCTGTAGGTGGAGCGGAGCGGTTGGTTTTAGCTGCATAAATTAAACGATAAGTTGATTCTGTTCTTTTTCGTTGCTTTTGCGTATTCGTTCGGAATTTATGCTTGAATCGAACTTTAGTTAAGCATTCCAATGACAGCCATGATAAAGTGTTCACTTCTCACGATTGTCTGCAAATATTAGCTCTGTGCCGCTCTCTCTCTCTCCCTCTCTCTCTCTCTCTCTTTCAGTCCTCATTCTGATTTAAGAGCATAATGAAAGTACAATAGTTAAATTGCCAGAGATTTGCCTATGCAGTTGAGTGTAAGAATGTTCAATTAAATATATTTACTAAATAAAAATTGTATTACAATTTCTTAGTTTGATAATTTTAGCAAGGCTGCATTAAATATGGTCAGAAATAATTAAAATAATTCTTGCTTGTCAAACACACTCATCTCATCGACAGCTGTGCACAATTGATATTGACAGCTATTATATGAATGCCTGAGCAGAAATAACTAAAAATAAACTTAGAGACAAATTAGTCAAAAACTTTTGCTAAAAACATTTTCCATTAACTGAGGAGCAGGGAGAGATAAGAGCAGCAAATGGATAAGTTGAGGTTTAAGGAATAATGACAACAATAAAATAAATACATGCAATTAGCAAATGATATAATATAATATTTAGATATATATTTTTTTTATCTAATTAAAAATCTTTCGAAACTAACGAGATAAGAATATTGCTTAAAAGCCTAAGAAAATATTAACAAATCTTTCATATGGGCATTGATTAATATCTTAAGAGAAAGAGTAGAAATATTATATAAATTATATGGATAAACATAAATTATAATAAAAATAATCTTTAGCCATACATTCCCATATTAATTATTACTTTTCATTGTAATGAAATACCCAATATGCTTACGGCATCTCTAACTATAGTTCACTAGCTCATACTAAATACACGTATACATTTCTAGTGAAATCTTCTTGGTTTACTTCCCGTTGTTTTCCGCCCAGATTCAATTTGACAGCAGCAGCAACTCAGGCGACAGCTGCTTGCACAATTTACTTGACGCGTCTTGACCATTAGTGCGAGTCCTTTTCTTTCTTTTCTCTTGATTGAGTTGGCTTCGCAGCGATTCCCTGTTTCATTTCCATTTCCATTTTCTTTCCTTTATCCATTATCTGGTAACATTTTTATCTATCAATAGTTTTGAAGCGGCGCGCAGCTATTGCCATTAATTTGTGCGACATTTGCTCGCCATTTTAGCTGCTTTTAGCTGCTATCTCAGCTGGGTTGAGGACAACTCCAAGACCAACTCCAACTGTCTGACTGATTGCAGTCTGCACTTTACGGCAATTGGTGGCACTTTGCGCCAGCCAAGTTGAAAAGCTGCGAGTTTTATTCTAAAACTTGCCGTTGAGTGCCGACCGGCGCCACAATGCATCTGAATAGTGAAGTGAAGCTGCGAAAAGGTGGCTAATAAATGAGATTTAAGCTAAGATTCCTGCTTTAATTTACCCTACAGCTAGATCTTAAATTAAACAGTTACTTAACATGCCTTGAACAGAGCTGCTAACGTCTATTGAACTCCGTTTGTCTGGAGAACTACAGCGTAATATTGAATCTGTTAACATGCGTTTAACATAGCGAGTTAATGTTTGTGTCATATTTGTCTATATTCAACAAATATTTTTATTAGTTGTTAACATTTATTTAATTTTAGTTTAAATATCTATTATGGAAGCTATGTATAATAAATAGAGTTCGAGAACTTTAATACACTTTAACATAATTCTTAACATTTATTTAACTAAACTTTTAAATGGTAAAAGGAATAAACTCTCAAAGCTAAACAATATGAACATGTTAACATACCTTTAACATAGTCATAACATCACACACATCTACTTAACTTGAAACTCCTTCCACAAAGCTCTATCAATTACATATTCAGTCACCCTCATAACCCATTAAAATATTTACCCATTCACAACTTTCAAGTACAGTAAATAGTCGCTAAAGCTTTCGCGTTAAATTCATGGTTATGGCAGCAGTAAGCGGATACTCCGTCCAGAAAGATATGGAGCGAAATGTAATTAGTGCCTGGCCAAGACTTTGGCAAGCTGAAGTAACCCGCAATAGTTGGTCTAATTGGTTTGAGTATTAGTATTAGTTAAATCGAATTTGAGCACACGTATTGATTAGGAAACGGACACATTGCAGCTAACTTTGATAGTTTCTGTCAAACTTGGCCGCACACACACGCACGCACGCATGCACACACACACACACACACACATAGAGGCGTATAGCTGAAGGTGCTGTATCAACGAGTGGGCAGATGGATAACATGATTGACTCCTGAACAGTTGTTGCTGTTCCTGGGGCACGTAATAAGCTGCGTGTCTGCACAGCTGCGGCTACATCTGTTCCTGCTCCTGCTCCTGCTGTTGATATGGGGCGGCCACTCACGTTCGCGATCGTCAAGTCGGCTCTTTTATAAACACACACACACATACTTACACACAGACAAACGACTTAATAACTGAAAAAGTGGGAAATGGGAGTGTAGGCGTGGCCAGTGGGTGCCAGTTCGTTGACACTAAATGCCACTTTAGGGGCG